AAAAAAAAAAAAAAAAAAATTTAACCAATATAGAAAGATGATAAAAAGGTTTAAGTATCGGCATATCAGACATTTTTACTAGAAGACTTTTTAATAAAAAGTTTCTTTAGAATATGGATGCCCAAAACAGGAAGAGGCCAAAATCTAGACTATTCTTTCTATTTATAACATATGCATTAAAAATAAGAGCTTGAATGTTTTAATAATATTCAGTTAGACTTCAAAACTTTTTTTTCAAGTAGTAAAATAATAAAAAGTAAACAGTGTTACCTTTAAAAAACAAAAAAAATGATATTTGAATCCCTCCAAAGTTTTCGACTTGCACTGAAATACATTTTTCAAACAGAATTTGAACAGTATTAAGTTTTCTAAATTGTTCTGTTCTGAAGTAACTTAAATGATAGCGAAAGAAAAGCAGAAAATCAAAGGAAAAAAAGAAAAAAAGGAGGAAGAGAGATAAGAAAAGAAGGCAGGCAGGAAACAAAACTTCATTTCGGGAAATAGTAGTTTAAAATACAGAGCTACTGCTGAACAAAGTTTTCAATAATTACTACCTTGCCCTAAACCAGTGGTTGGCAAAGTTTTTCTGTAAAGAGCCAGACAGTAATAACTATTTCAGGCCTGATGAGCCATATGATCTCCCAGTTGCCACTATTCAACTCTGTAGCCTAAGGAGCCAAAAACAATATATAAACTAACAGGTGTGGCTGTGTTCCAATAAAACTTTATTTACAAAAACAAGTGGAGGGCCACACACAGCCTGCAGGCCATAGTCTGCCAAGCCCTGCCCTAGACTCAGGTTTGTACGGTGTCCTTGCAAACTTCTAGGGTTGACCAATAAATCATCATATGAAAAAGGTTGTTAGCTCCTCTTGGTCCATCTGAATGCGAGGCCTTGGGATTTACCATAAAAACTAGCAAAGAGTTGTTCTATGGATTTCTCTACAAAATGTTCCAACTTAGTGGCACTGTTAGCAGCTGTCTGGCAGTGACCCACAATTACCTATTACATACTTGCTCTGTGTTCTTTCTGTTCTCTATTTTTTTTAATTAATTTATTTTATTTTATTTATTTTTGGTTGCGTTGGGTCTTTGTTGCTGCACGTAGGCTTTCTCTAGTTGCGGCAAGCGGGGTCTACTCTTCGTTGTGGTGCGCGGGCTTCTCATTGCGGTGGCTTCTCTTGTTGCGGAGCACAGACTCTAGGCGCACGGGCTTCAGTAGTTGTGGCTTGCGGGCTTCAGTAGTTGTGGCTCATGGGCTCTAAAGTGCAGGCTCAGTAGTCATGGGGCACGGGCTTAGTTGCTCCACGGCATGTGGGATCTTCGCAGACCAGGGCTCAAACCCGTGTCCCCTGCATTGGCAGGCGGATTCTTAACCACTGCACCACCAGGGAAACCCTCTGTTCTCTATTTTATGGCCCTGTAATGGGAGATATGTAACCAAGTTTGGAAAAGCTATGGGATCTCTCATGAACCTACGTAAAAACAGAGGGATTTTAAAAGCAGCTGGGATGTTTGATGTCAGAAGAGGCTACCCAGGTAAAAGGCCAAAAAGAACAGCCTTCCTTCACAAGAGCATTAGTTCATGAACACATTTGTCCCCTTAAGTAATCTCACCTGGGATTCTCTTATCTTACTATTGAACGGAAAAGGAGTCGCCTGGAAGTTAACAGAGAAAGACAGACAGTGAAGAATATTCAGAAATAATAAAATGTTAGAAAATTTAAGATAATCAATAGGTTGAAGGGGTGGGCTCATGTCAGAACTTTTAAAGAGTACATGTAATTTCAAAACATATTACAGTTGACACTTGAACAAGGCAGGGGTTGGGGTACCGCCCCCCTCGTGGTCAAAAATCCGGGTACTGCTATCTCTGCCTCAAAAACAGAGGAATTGATAAATGACTCACCCAAGGGCAGGAAGCTGAGATAGTCTGGTTTTGATTCCACATATTGTGATCTCTAATTGAACACAAACATTCCCTTACCCTTAGTTAATTTAAAGATCTATGAAAGGAAAATACAGATAATAGATTTATTGAAAAAAATTCATGGATAAATGGACTTGCACAGTTCTAACCCGTGTTGTTCAAAGGTGATAATTAGAAAACCCCAAAAGGAGGGGAAAAAAATCACTGGGAGAGAAATATGAAGTTCCTTTGGGGCAACAGGAAAAGTGGGGAGACTCAACACGGTGGGTGACTATTTAAAAGTAGTCCCTCTGCCGTCTCCCCATGGGTGGGCTGCATTTCCCTACACCTTGACTTTGAGTTTGGCCAGGTTTGCTTTGGTCAATGAAATGTTAGTGGGCGTGGCATGACCAGAGGTCTGAAGAGCCCCAGAGCCCCTGGACTTGTTCTCTTGGGCCTCTGCCACCCCAACGAGCAGAATAGGTCCCCTTCTCCAAAGAGGACGGAGTACAGGTGGAACAGTCACCTGGCAAGTTCCAGCCTGGACCAGCTGACTCGTGGAGAACCCACAGACCCACGAGCTAAATAAATGTTCATTGTCATACATCACTGATGTTCTGTAAGTGTTACCCAGCATTTGTGTAGCAAAAGCTAACAAATGCAGCCAACAGCTCATTTTACTGAGGTTTAAGGTCTCTTCTAGGTCAAATGAAAAATATGTCAAGTGTTTGTCACTCATTTTTAACGTAAGCTCTGTTTCAAGCTAGGTATGGGTTGAGATCAGGCCAAGTTGGCAAACTGGTGGCCCAATAATGTGTTTTATTCGACTTGTATGTCGTCAGCATACACATGTTAAAATACACACACACATGCAAATTGCCATTATTTAAGGAAATTTGTAGATTTCACCTAAAACTGTATTTCCAGATTGTCTTAAAAAATTAGAAGATTTGGCAACTCTGGGAGGGTTCTATATTTTTTGGGGGGGCAGATACAATACACTGGAGCCGAGTAGTGGGCTGCTTCTCTTGAGACAGGACACGAGAATTCCTCAGCTTATCACCACTCCTAACATCTTCTAGCACTGGAGGCATCAGATACTATTCATACAGTGGCTGGGCTATTATCTTCTTTTTATAATACTTAGGTGAAAAAAACGATCCTGCAATCCCACTCCTGGGCATATATCTGGAGAAAATTCTAACTTGAAAAGATACATGCACCCCAATGGCCACAGCAGCACTATTTACAATAGCCAAGATGTGAAAACAACCCAAGTGTCCATCAACAGATGAATGGATATATAAGATGTGGGGTGTGTGTGTGTGTGTGTGTGTGTGTGTATTTTCTCCCCCAATAGAATATTACTTAGCTGTTAAAAAGAATGAAATAATGCCACTTGCAGCAACATGGATGGACCTAGAGATTATCATACTAACTGAAATAAGTCAGACAGAGAAAGACAGATATATGTATATCAATATTACTTATATGTGGAATCGAAGAAAAGGATACAAATGAACTTATTTACAAAACAGAAACAGACTCAAAGACATAGAAAACAAACTTATGGTTACTAAAGGGGATAGCAGTGGTGGGGGGGTTGGTGGCAGAGATAAATTATGAGTTTGGGGTTAACATGTACACACTACAATATACAAAATAGCTAAACAACAGCGATCTGCTGTATAGCACAGGGAACTACATTCAATATAGGATAATAACCTATAATGGAAAATAATCTGAAAAAGAAAAAAAATATATATATATAATCACTTTGCTCTACACTTGAAACTAACAACACTGTAGATTAACTATACTCCAATAAAAGAATTTAAAAATTAAAAAAATTTTAAAAGGAAAAAGAACCATTTTGTTTAATTTTTTTCTTTTAAAATAAGGTCAGTTTAATTTATCAAATAGCATACTCTTAAAACTCATCAGGCCGTGACATGAGCATGCAAGATAATGTTTATTTTTGACATTACTCTCTTTGTAGCTGAATCCCTTAGGACTCAAATTTTCAGTTGTTTCTGACCTGGTCCCATGAATGAAGATGTTCACGTACTTTAAGAAGGTTGTGTTGTAAAGGTTAAATGGAATTGTGGTAGTCTTTCACAGAATTCTTCAAGGATTCTGATTTAATTTCTTTCCCTCAGTGCCAATTAAAAACTATTACAGCTGAAGAAGGCAAATCATTTTTGAAGTGACACTAATGCTTTGGTTTTTAATTACAGAACTAAGAAAAGTTACTGGTCAGTTTTGTCAAAGATTTTTCTTTTCCTATTGAACTTAAACACGGGATGAACTGTCCATAGGAAGTCCCAGGGCAGCCAGAGCACACATCCATTTGGGAAGTGCCTCATTCTTTTCTTGTTACCTGGGAAACAGGTGGTCAGGTGCTCCATCAGTGCTTCTTGGGTGACAGGTTTTCTTGCCGAGTTCATTGCGGAGATGGCCAAGCAAAGGATTTCCCCCAGTGGGATAAACTGAGATTGACTGATGGGAGACATACTGATTGGTGACACATCACCTGTAGAAAGACAGTTTTCAAGTAAGTGGTTCATTAAGACCCAGCCACTTGTCACACACACACCTCCACACACACAGGCGCCTCTCCCGTGACTCTCACCTGTTCCTTGTGCAATGAATACAATCAACCCTCAACACTGAGGTGCATTACAGCCACGTCCTCTCAGGTGGAAAGACGTGCACAGAACGGCGGAAGCTTCAATTGCTTCCACAAAGAAGACTTGCGTTTAAAACCTGAGATCTCGTTTAAATAGACTTGCTACTGAAAGGCTTGCAACAACGGAGCCTCTTCAAATGATCTCTGCTTTTATTAACTCGGAGCTGATTTGTTTAGTGACTGTCATTCACATCCTGACAAACACACTTGTGGGAACTTGAGGATTCATTCATTCAAATGCTGGGTGCCCTTTGCCCCAGGCATCTGCTGGGGTCTTGGGAGTCACTTGGAAAAGTGAATAAGCCCCCTCCCACCAACATCTCTGCCCTCAAGGAGTTTCCATTTAAGCGGAGGAGACAGACCAACGTTCATCGTGCGCCAGAGAAGGCTGAAAAATAAACTCTGGGGCAGAGGGTAGAGTGATGTACACCAGCCGGAGGTGAGGACGGAGCTTAGAACCAGGAAGTGAGAGGAGGTTTTACCAAGGTCGTGCAGCCTGAATCCGGTGCTGAAGTGGGAGTGTGCCGGGTGGCTGTGGGGCGTAGGGGTATTTTCTGGGGAGCAGCAGATAAGGGAGACAGGTATATAGGGACTATTAACAGCAAAGAGCTGAGTGCCCAAGGCCTTCATTCTATGAATTTAAGGAATGACAATGTCAGATATGAATTTCAAGAAGAGGACTCCAGTGGCCACGTGGAGGATGATCTTACCACCCAGGAAGGGCTCTGGCATATCCTGCACACGTTTGCATCTGAAAGAGCCAGTGCAGGTGGGGGGAGGCTGCAGACCCAGAAGCCAGGGGCAGACATGGCCAGTGCAGGTGGGGGGAGGCTGCAGACCCAGAAGCCAGGGGCAGACATGGCCACGTTTAATGCACATAACTGCCTTCCTTTCTGCAATCTTGGCGTCACAGTGTGGTGATTTTCAAGTCATGTTCCAAGGAAGGATCCCTAGCATTCCCCAGAGAGGCTTCTGGGGGCAGGGAGGGGTGCCCCCAGCAGAGGGAGGGGTGGGAGGGCAGGGAAATCTGCTCCTGACATCTGGGTGCCACCTGTTTCCTCCTTGGGGTTCTGTAAGGTTTCACTTGAGAAAGGCCATTCAGAAAGGGGGTGAAACCATCAGCGGAGTAGAAAATCTGTGAGCTTCTAAGCTTCTTTCCCACATGGATTTACATAATCTCTCCTCTTGTTTCCAAGTATGATTTCACTCTTGTTATAAATCACCGTGACTAACCAGAACTGGACTTGGGCCAACCTGTGGCATTAAACAACAGCCTCCAGGAAGGTGTCTGGGTGCTCTGGGGTGGACCAGCCTACTGCACCCAGCCACAACTCCTAGTTTGATGGGGGAATCCTGAGGCCTTTTGGGAAAGAACGTGAACCCTGCTTTGATGGACTGGATGGGAAATGCTTTGATGGATAAAACCAGGCAACAGCACCTGGGAATGAAAACCAACAGGTGAGGGGGTAAGTCTAACAGGTGCACCAGAGGGAGCATCAGGACCCCAGTGTCAAAGGTTGAAGCCTGACCCCCCTCATCCCCAGGCCCAGCTCAGTCCAATGCTCCCCTCTTTCCTGCAGCCCTCAGGGCTCCAATCAGCTCCGCTGTGGCTCCATTCTCTGTAAGATGGGTCTGACAAGAGGGAGGCACTTCCTCAACAGCCAGAGAGAGGGGGGAAATACACAAATCCAGAGCAGCAGAAACCAGGAACTGACCTAACTTAGAACCCACAGACTGCCAGGGCCTATGGGATGTAAGTCTCATAAAGAGATAGACCTCTGAGAGATGCTCGCAAATATTTGTTGGGGTAGCAGAGGGCAGAAGCTGGAACACGGAATTCTGGGAGGCTGCTGAGGATGTGAGTTTCACTCACTGGCTGGTGAAGCTCAATTCATATTGGTGACTCAAAAATGACAGAATTGGGCTTCCCTGGTGGCGCAGTGGATGAGAGTCCGCCTGCCGATGCAGGGGACACGGGTTCGTGCCCCGGTCTGGGAAGATCCCACATACCGCGGAGCGGCTGGGCCCGTGAGCCATGGCCGCTGAGCCTGCGCGTCCGGAGCCTGTGCTCCGCAACGGGAGAGGCCACAACAGTGAGAGGCCCGCGTATCGAAAAAAAAAAAACCAAAAAACAAAAATGACAGAATTATGTGGACTGTGCCCATCTCAGTAGGCAAGCTTGCTACTGCCTAGAAGAGTGTATTTAAATCTTTGAAAAACTGTTGTACCCTTCATTCAAACACAACCGTATTCTAAAGGCTCCTGTGTAACGGATGAACTAATGGTGGTGGTGAGATGCAGTAGAGGGGTGTGTTTGGAGCTACTCATGTTCAAATCTCCCCTCCCCATGGTGGCTGTGTAGCTCAGCCATAGCCACTCTAAAGATCTCTCCTGTGGATCCTTCTCTGTCCCTCCACCTTCTACAGGACAGGATGAGCCACAGTGAGGCAGGTTTCTTAAGAGTTGCTAGGTTGGTTACGTGGACTTCAAAGTCACCCAGAATTTTTTTTTTGGCCATGCCACACGGCATGTGGGATCTTAGTTCCCCGACCAGGGATGGAACCCATGCCCCCTGCAGTGGAAGCACGGCATCTTTTTTTTTTTTTTTAATATCTTTATTGGAGTATAACTGCTTTACAATGATGTGTTAGTTTCTGCTGTATAACAAAGTGTATCAGCTATACATATACATATATCCCCATATCTCCTCCCTCTTGCTTCTCCCTCCCACACTCCCTATCCCACCCCTCTAGGTGGTCACAAAGCACCGAGCTGATCTCCCTGTGCTATGAGACTGGGAAGCAGGGCATCTTAACCACTGGACCTCCAGGGAAGTCCCTGGAATAATTTCATAAGTCAGATGAAAAGGACAATGGGGTCAGCTAACAAGCACGCAGGGGGGTGGGGTGGGGAGATCAAAGCACGTTCCAGTACCTTTGGATCTGTGCATCATTTGGGAGGGTAACACCTTCTAGAATTTGCCTGTCATACTTATGGACTTCTCAGAAGACTAAAGATACAAAAATACTAAATAGGATTTTTTAAAAATAATGCAGGTCTATTTTCTAACTTTGTACTTGTTATAGGGAACTTGAGCTTTCTGTAAAGAAGGAATGACTATTAGCAAAATTAACGAGTTTAGGTCATGCTTGTCCTTATGCTGTTAGCTGAAATTCTTGTTTAGTTTAACTAACAAATATCAAACGTTTACTGATCTTCTAAGTTAATTTCTTTTCAGTCATTGCAGCCAACTGTAAGAGGCAAGTAAGCTTTAAGTGTCTCTTGAAACGCATTGGTATTGAAAAAGCTCAGTTTCACTATAATACTGAATACGTGGAATAACATTTAACTCAGGAGAGAGAATCAAATGGAATTTGGATGCTCTAAGTGACCACCTCCACGTCCTCTTGTTTTTATTTTATTTTATTTATTTATTTATTTTGCGGGACGCGGGCCTCTCACTGTTGTGGCCTCTCCCGTTGCGGAGCACAGGCTCCAGACGCACAGGCTCAGTGGCCATGGCTCACGGGCCCAGCCGCTCCGTGGCATGTGGGATCTTTCCGGACCGGGGCACGAACCCGCGTCCCCTTCATCGGCAGGCGGACTCTCAACCACTGCGCCACCAGAGAAGCCCGTCCTCTTGCTTTTATACTGCACTAAGATAAATTACTTCTCACTCCCGTCCCACCCCACCGGCCATCCTGTGTCCTCTACACCCACATGCTTCCTGGGTCTCTTCCCTCCACTCCATCTGCCATGCGACCCCTACCCCAGGTCACTGTCCCCCTCACCTGGCCCATGACAATGGCTTGATGCCTCCCAGCACTCTCTCCTACCCAACACTCCGTTCTCCACAGAGCAGTCTTCTTAGAAAAGCGTAAAACACGCTGCTTCCCTGCATGAAATCCTGCAGTGACTGCCGACTGCGCCTAGATCGGAACTCCTTGCTGGGTCTACGCTGGCCTGAGCCTGTCCACCCACATCTGGGACCATCCGCCGACCCCTCTTCTGCTCCCCCCTACAACATGCTCACAACTTCCTCTGTTCTTTGAACGCACCAAGCTTTTTCCCCACTCAGAGCCTTCGCCTTTGTTGAGCCCCTGCCTGGGATGTGCTTCACGCAGATCTCTGCAGGACGGGCTGCTTCTCCACCTCTGGGTCTCCATTTAAACAGGGCCTCCTAGGGAAGCCCTGCCCAGGCACCCGATCTAATGCTGTCCTAAAACCACAGCACACTCTTTCTCATGTTACTGGATACTATGGTTTATAATAAGAAATATATGTTTGGTCTTCATCCCCATGTCTGGCACAGAGCTCCTAAAACCCTTGGAATTTCCTAAGTGGCGAGAGAGATCAAGGTATCTTTGTTACATCAGTGAGGTGATTTTTGGACCCGCACCTAAGGATGGGGGCTCATAGCCAGGAGAACTAACCACGTGGTTACAGGGTTGGAACTTTCAGCCCCGCCCCCAACCTCCGCCGGGGAGAGAAGAGTGGCTGGAGGTTGAATCAATCTTCAACGGCCAATGATTTAACCAAGCATGCTTATGTAATGAAGCCTCCATAAAAAACCAAAGGATGGGGTTCAGAGAGCTTCCAAGGTTGCTGAATACGTGGAGATTGGGTAGGGCGGTGCACCTTGGGAGGGCATGGAAGCTCCGTGCCATCTCCCTATTCCTTGCCCTATGCATCTCTTCCACCTGGCTCTTCCTGACTTGTATTCTTTTATAATACACTGGCACACTAGTAAGTAAAGTGTTTCTCCCCGTAAGCTGCTCTAGCAAAGTAACTGAACCCAAGGAGAGGGTGGTGGGAGCCTCCAATCTATCACCAGTCTTTCAGAA